TTACAAAGTGCGACAGGCCGGTATTACAAAGTGTGACAATTTTATTACAAAGTGCGACAGGTATTACAAAGTGCGACGATTATTACAAAGTGCGACAGTACACTCGTGTTCAAACCCCGGCCGGACCATCACTCAGGGTCGCTAAATAACTGAGAAGAAAGTGCTGCCTTTGTAATGACATCTGTAAATGGTTAGACTTTCTAGTCTTGTCGGACAAGGACGAAAAACCGTAGGTCTCTCTCACAGCACTTTCACTTACCTGGGTCTTGTGGGACGTAAAAGAACCCATGCCGGCGAAAACTCCTCAATATTTTTTACACATTCTTACCCTTGTTCCGTTCATTAATAGTCAGTACCTCGGCTATTTTGTCTTCGGATGGCCGTAACTCTTCTGTTGTAAAGCGCGATCTATCAAATAAAAAGCATCACTCCTAACCTTCCATCATTTCACAATGTCTCTGTAAAATTTTGCCTAAATCGCCTTTAAAACAGCCGCGATATAAGTGTTTTAAAAGATGTTCCACAGGCAAATTTTGCCTTATGAAGTTATTCGTAGATAGGTGTCCCCAGCGGCCTTAAATATAGAAAAAGGAGGCGTATTTCAGAGTTCAGTTTTTTTTATTAAGTCCCGTGAGAGTTTAGGGTTAATGGCGAAACCAAGGCGCTTTTCTCCTGATCCCCCATCTGATGATGGAAAGTTCCAAAGTCGCTTTTCACCATGCATTAATTTATAATCCGTGATCGATAATCCCACTTTTAATATTAATTCCATGATTTTAATTGTATTAGCAATATCACCAATCACAGAGAAGAAAATTTTGTGAAATTTCGCGAGTCAACCATTCAGTTTAATAAATCTTTTGAGACAAAAATAAACTGTAAAAAGAACTAATTATAGGCAAAACGTGGTATTCGACAACACAGAATAGCCTAAATTAGGCAACATAAGGTTCTCTTACTTTCTATCTTCAAAGCACACGATCATGAACAAATATTAGAGCTGAAATGCGAACTTGAAAAGCGCCTAATGTAAAGGATAAAACTTTTCGTGCCAATTTTGATATATATCAAATGTCACCGCAATTTATGATATACAAAGTTAAGATTTGTAGCTAATACCGCCCTTTGTTTCAACCAAAAACGACGAATTTTGATTTTAGTGCGGCTTATTTGTCACCCAAAAAGCTTTTGAACTTTGTTTTCCAGGATAAAACGAGAAATCCTGAAAAGCTGATATATCAAACTTAACTTCTCAGCAAATCAGTTCGCGAAAAGTGAGGTATGGCAGTCTATAAATTTTTCTAGTATATCGGTAAGTGTGTAGAATGTACTTTGACAATCTTTAACTCAAGTTAGGCATGTTTTCATTCCCCGCCTTTTTAGCTCCAGATAACAACTTTTTAATAACTGTGCGTTTCATCCCTTAAATGCCAGTTGTTTAGCCGACTGTCTTCTCAATTTTGCTTTCAGTGTTTTTATCAGTTCAAAAGGACTAAAACCGTTTTCTTCTTCTGAAGATAAATACTTTTTGTTTGTCCTCATGTACTAGTGAACGGTTTTGCATGCAAATCCAGCTGGGGACGGGCATATATCTTCAGTGCTCGTTATTGGACCATGATTGCTTAACAACCAATCTTTCTTTCTGAAGTATGTCACTATTATAATCATTTTTCTTATTTACATATCATGTTACATATCATTTTACATTGTCATCTTAATTTTGTATCATGTCCAAGTCTATTGAAGTAAGTCTTTTTCTCGTTGTGAAGAAATGGATAGAAATGCCGTTCTCTTACGCCAGGGCTTCAGAGGCACCCAGCGACCTTTTTTCTGTAAAATAACCGTTCGAAGGAGCAAATACTGCCTAGAAATTTCCTAACGCTCGGGAAATGCTTCGGAGGTTGCGTTTATAACATTTTATCACCACGACATTGTAATTCATCTTTGAAAGCGCTGGCCTGAAAATTTCGGCATAAAGACAAAACAGGCGTCCCCTAGGTTTTAATGAAAGTAAGGCTACTCCATTTCCTCAAACTTTTGACCTGACCCAGCATTACAGATGCTAACAGTTTCGGATGAGACAAAAAGCCGCCTAAAACTTTCATGACAACCAAAATTCCCCAAAGACATCGGAAGAGATAAATAGATTTGAGGGAAGTTCCAATTATCCAAACAGTCTTCTAACGCTAATCTGACGTAGTTGTAAGTATTTGGTCGTTAGGTCCCCCTGGGGCATTATACAGAAAAGTTGTGTCTAACTGAAGAAAACAGGACCTATAATAGAGAAATCTCGAGAGAATGCATGCATCGAATGACATGGTATTTTAATTCTGACAGCGTGCAATTCAAAATCAGCACAAGAAGACCAATTTAAAAGTAAATCCCAAAGCCAAAGGAACCATGAATTCTTCACTGAACAAGATTAGCACAACGGAAACGTCTTCAACTTCGTCACAAGCCATTGCAGCGAGTGGGATAACTAACACAACTCAGGTCATGTACTCCGTTCTTTGCACCTTGGCAATTCCTGGAAACATGGTAACCATTTTAGTGTTCATTAGAGAGAGAAGGCTGCTTGAGAAATCATACAACATTTTGATTCTGACACTTGCCATAGCAGATGTTATGACGGCCATCCTGTTAATAACAAACCCTTCTTTTGTTGTTGGTGACGCATTTCCTTATCCAACCAATCCAGTTCTGGGTGAAATCTTTTGCCGGGTAATTTGGAGCCGAGTGTTTCTCTTTCAGCTTGTGTTTTTTTCCATTTACATTAGTTTGGTGTTAACAGTGGAGCGATGGGTGGCTATTGTAAAACCTGTCAAGTATAACATCTTTTTCAAGGGAAAGAGATTAATTTTGTGTATTTTTGTCTGTTGGATTTGGTCGTTATTTCTCACGGGAGCTAGTTTAGCCGATACTGTGTATAAACCAAACTTATCATCGAGAAATATCTGCGAGTTTGAAATTATTTTGCAGGGGACGTCCTTCCGAATGGCTCTTTCTACCCTTCAGTTTTTCATGAAAATGGCCTTTCCGTGCCTTAGCATAATTGGGCTTTACATACACATGATCGTGAGTACAAACAACTCCCCGATTGCATCTGTGGAGAGCAAGGCTAAACTACGAGGAAAGGTGACAAGGATGATTGGTGCAATGAGCTGTATTTTTATCATATGCATTACCCCGAATCAAATCGTACTGGTCTTAGCATACGCGGGAAAAGCGATACTGGATACCAAACTTCATCATTTCACAGCATTTTTCAACTTTATCCCTACTTGTGCTAATCCATTTATTTATGGACTGAGTAACGAAACCTACCGCCGTCGCTACAAGAAGATTCTATTTTCTCTGTGTCCTAAAGTCCTCCGAGGGGGTGCTGATGCTGCTAATCTGGACATTGTTTTAAGAGAACGGCGGGTTCAGCCATCCACAATAGAACAATAATGGAAGGTGTACAGTCTTATCGTTATTTCTAGGCCCTCGACTGCGGTGCCGAACCCAGTTCATCTTATTAAATTCTCCTTTAGCACGGCAGCAGGAACGATTTTTGACTAAACCAAGTCGTACTAAAGCCTGGTTTTCATATGTCGGAAAAATCCCAGACGATCGGGGATTTTGCTTTTTGCCGACCATCCCAGATTTTGCCGATTTATCGGATTATCGCCAGAAGTCTCTCCCAGTATATACTGTACTCAATAAAGTTTTACACGGCGAGGCTCTGCCCCGAGTTTTACGCCCTTACCATTTGTACGCCTTTGCTTAACAGAAAAGGTTCTCCTATAATATTCCTTCCACTGAAAATGTTAGCCCTTTGCCATACCTAATAATAGTAATCATGAATAATCTTTGTAGAGGAAGCCCCCGTCACATTGAGTGGTTTTCAGGGAGGTCCTCTGACTAAGATTAAATAAAATTAAAAGCACTAATTACAATCAACCTATCGGTTTAAAAGCTAAAAGTCTGAAAAGTCTAAACGACTAAATTAGTGAACAAGATATTACAATCAGACATAAAGATTTAATCATCATGAAAATACAAAGGCTAACGACTAAAATGAAAATTTACTAAACCAGAGATGAGTGGATTAAAACTATAGATAAATCTCTCATTAATGGTTTGTTCGTTTTGGATCTAAAAATGCCTGTGACATCATGTACCACTCTGTCTTTCTCCAGAAAGGATTGAGTTTTATGGAGTTAGGTCTAAACGTTAGAATGGTTTTAAATTTAAATCATATTTTACTGTTCGAAAACAGAAAACTTAAGAGCCATTATCTGAGAAAATCGAGAATCGCAAGACACTCGTCAAAAAATCGAATTTTTTTTTATTTTGCCAAAACATCCCTTTTAGTGACCTTATTTAAGGAAAAATAGTTTTGGGCTCAAACGATTCATTTTAAAGGAGAAATTAGGAAAAGTTTGGAAAATCGATTTTATGCTCTTTTTTCGCACAAAACACGGAAGGATGCAATGGCAACTTCGAGAGAAGGGTGAACGCGTAAGAAACATTCCCTGACATTGAAACTTCACCGAATTATTATTTTGTTCTTACTCTTGAAAATCCTAAAAGAAAATTTGATAAACAATGCTTTACATTTTTATAATCGACAAGTGTAAAGAGGTCATATTTGTGACGTTAGACGTGCTAGAAAATGAAGGCCAACTTTGACTATTAAAAAAGGCCTCTGGTATATGCCGCTTGATCATAAAATCAATATAAAATGGAACTTTGGCTTTTGTACTAACTTACTGGAAAGTTTTAGCTCTGGAAATCAAATATCATCCTGACACCAACGCAAGCGGTGAGAGCAATTGAATTGGGAAATTTATGCAAATTAGACGGCTTGCGGACGGTTGTCAAACTAAAAGAAAGGTTTTACATGAAAGGATTACTCACCATTGCTTGTAACACGTTTTTACGGCAAGGAAAGTTATTTCCAACTTCTTTTGCGTCGTTTTGAGTCACAAAATATATAATTTTTAGCCAAAAGACAAACGTACGTTTGCTCAGCAACTGCGTCCGAATCCGGCCGTGAATCGAAATAAAGTCTCAACACGTCGAAGCAAGAGTTACAAGAGTTTTTACTTCAGTCAGGAGGCAAAAGGAATAAAAATTCATCGCAAACTAATGACTTCGATTTTCAAAACCTTTCATCACTTCAATCGTTCGTCGGCTGATAATAAACATCGCATAAGATCGTATGACTTTTGGTGTGACCGGAAATTGGTCACACGCTTTAGTCACGTCAGCTGTTGTCAGCAATTTTAACACAGTTTTCACATTTTTTGACAAGAAATCCTCTCATCGCAGTACAAACAGCCATGCAGATTTATTTTTCTTTTATTTACCTACTAGGCTTTGAAACAGCTTTTTTGCCTTCGAAGTACTAAACAGGAGGGGTACCTCGGATTCCAAGTGTCGTGAGTGATCCGTGGAAGCGAAAATTAAGACCAAAAAAGAACGAATATTTTGAATACTTAAGTAAAGCCACAGCTAAAAAAAAAAATTTGTTCAAAATATTTTCAAACCAAGAAAAAAACATACTTCGATCATCCCCGTGACTTGGAATCTGGCCAGAGTACACCGTCCCCTCCCCTCCTCCCCTATGCCGGGTCAAAATACTAAGTTCCCCCGGCCCAATGTCCCATAGTCAAGGGAGTATACTCTCTTGCTGTAGTAAAGAACTTGCAGAATAATACCAATTCTCCGTGGCCAACGGATTCAACGCTATAGTTTACTTTGGTTTTGCTTGTTGATTTTTTCGCTATTTGCTCACGATCAGGAGCCTATAACCCCAACCACGACCAAATTATGAAACCTGTTATTACCAGAAAAAAAAACACAAAGAAACAGTCAGTCAGATAGACAGTACATAATTAAAAAGACCTCGATTAAGATTAAAAAAATCAATACATGACACTGTCGAATACGAAAACCCAGAAACCATTTTGTGGAAAAACGGTTCGCATACAGCTATCAGCTGCTTTTGTCCACAACTCGGCGGTAGAGGTGCGCGGAAACTAGTGATTGTGAAATGGCTTCAAACTATGATCCTATACTATTGGAATATTACTTATCACAGAAAGCTACACCTGATTTCTTCTAGCAGACCCAATCCTCTTGGTTCGTGTGGACAAAGTAGCTCACGGCTATTTGCACCATGCTACCATAGTCTACCTAGATTCCCAAGCCTCGCAAGCAGACCTTCCTGTTCCACGAACGTTGGGTAGGATTGTAGGACGAGCCAAAAGAAAGTGAAGGCTATAGGCTCTCGCGATGATGTAAGGAAGGTCGAGTATTATATTCCCCTATCCTGGTCGCCCAGGGTAAGTCTGCGGAGGAGAGTGACTGAGGGGCTGTATGTTCAGGAAAAGTTGACTAACGCCCCCGGGACTAACGCTTTCCCCTGGATAAATCTATATCCAATAAGTAACGCAATTGCTTCTTCTTATTCGCTTGATAGTGATTTCCTGTTGTTCAACGTTTGAACAACAGGGCCCTAAGTATTGTGTTTCGTCTTGCACTAAAAACCCATAAACCTTATAAATTTCACTATGGGACTTCAGCACCTCCCGTGAATGATTCATTTCTCGAAACGGGACCTCAAAACAACGATTCTGTGTATCCTAAGGGAGTGTATACTATACTTTCCTGGCTCTCGTCACTCACAGTGAGGTGATGGTGGCTTATACTCTAATAGACCTAACACAGTCGAACCTCCATGTGCGACCGCCAATCCAAAAGACCAAATTTTCCCAGTCAAAGCCTTACAGTTGGAACCTCCAGTAAACGACCACCTTCTGTAAGTGACTGCGACCACTTTTTGGGCGTCACGGTTAATTGTTTTCCATAAGCGACCAGTTGACGCATTCTCTGCTCTCTATTTTTGCTGTGTGCACTATGTTCCTTAGAAAATATGAAGACCTTTAGCGACATCGTGGAAACACACGCACTTATCCTAACTTAGTAGATGTAGCCAACAAAGTGAAGATTCTGTTGTGATTCTAGACTATTCTATATCTCACTCACCTGAATCCCTCTTTAAATTGAGCATGATTTAAAAGCTGTATTTATCAAAAGAGGTAAAAGATAATATTTTGCCAGGAATTTGTTACACCGCCATTTAATAGAATGTGCCTGCCAGACCTCTTCTCGGAATAGACCCCATGTGGTCTGATTCTTCTAAACGACCACCTCCCGTTAGGGACCACTAAGTCTTTGCATTTTTGGTGGTCGCTTACTGGAGGTACGACTGTATTACTTTGACCTATCAGAGGCTTACCGATAATAAAGGGGATCTGGTAGCCTGCGTAGCAGGCGTCGAAAGGGGTAGGGGGTAGGGGATAGGGAGGAAGGGAAAAAGGGGAGGGGGATTGGGGAGAGGGGGAGGGGACGCCTGCTCTAAGAACCCCCTTTTGTTCATATCTGCGGACGCTGGCGTCCGCAAATTTCTGATTGGCTGAGCCGTAATGAGTAACATATTGAAATGCCCGTTTCACAAATCAACAATCAGTCGAGATGGCAGCGGTAGACGTCGATGTCGTAGAGAGTGCTTTGAGAGATGTGAATTTATCTAGTGGTAGAGAAACTGTTTTAAAACCAGAGCAAGAATCAGCAGTAAGGGCTCTTTTAGCCGACAGAGATGTTCTGGCGGTTTTGCGGACCGGATACGGCAAGAGTTTAATCTACCAAATGTTTGTACGCGCGAAGAACTACGAGCTAAATGGTAATGCGGCGATTCTCGTCATTTCGCCACTGAAAAGTATTATCGAAGACCAGTTGCAGGAGATGGAATTGTTGGGCTACCCAGCGAAAGATTTAGCCAATTTATCAAGGTTCTGCAATTATACTGAGCAAATGTTATTTTAGCCGCATGTTTCACACTGAGAGGTCATGACATACATATCGATTGACTGTAGTTATTGTTTTCTGGTCGGCAGGATTTGCCCTCTGATGCGAGCGAAATTTCTTTGACCTCTTTTGAAGCGTAAAGCTTTTTTTATCACGGCTGAATAAGGGTTCCAATTTTCTCCAAAGTGCCTTCTGGATCTGAATAACTAAGCGAATTTCTTTAGTCCGAGAGTGTAATACTTTTCTGCAATGGCTAGTCTAGCGACACTTGATTGACAGTAAGCGTAATCGGATTACTAGAAAATTGGTAGGCGTTATGCAAAAACATAGGCTCTTAGAGCAGGCGCTCCCTTCCCTTTTCCCTTTCTGCCTCCCCCCTCCCCCTCCCCTTTCTGCGCCTGCCACGCAGGCTAGGGATCTGGAAGGGGGCATGGATGCGACAATCACATGCCAGGTCGCTTACTTAAAATAGTGGACATCTAACTGACAATTAGCCTGCGAACCGCAGACTCATTTCCGGTCGTCGCTTCTCTCCCTCCGAAAAATATTTTTCGGAGGGAGAAAAGCGACGACCGGAAATGCGTCTGCGGTTCGCAGGCTAACTGACAATCAAAGTTTGTGCTTATTATTGGGGTTATCTGGTGTTTACTCACCTCCCAAGCTACCCTGGGCGAGCCAACTTTTCCTCCATTTCCTTACAAAACTTGGTAAACCATTTACATGAGAAACAAAAGGTTGGTTCGGATAGACGCCTTACTACCAGTAGTGGGCGGGGTTGAGGGCTTCCGGCGAATCAGCCCTCCACTGAGCCGGTAGTGGTGGCCTCACCCTTCTAGCCCGGCTAATATTTCTCCACTTTGGCTCGCCCAGCTAGCTGGGACAACACGGTCAAGGCTAGACAAAGACAGCATGCGTAAGCACTGTTGACTCAGACAAAGTGGTCAGTTTTTTCCTCATATAAACGCTCGCAAAAGTTGGCTCGGCTGGGAGGTTGACCTTCTCTCCGGCACAGCTTTTCTCCATCCATGGGTTCCAAACAGTCTTTTAGCAGTCACGTTTGAAATTTATAGGAAAATGATGTAGCACTTCAAAAAATAATAATAAAAAAATACACTTTTTTCACAGCCTGTCAATGCCTAGAAGGTGTCCATAAAAGAAATCAACTGCAGAACACGAGTCAATTTCAGTTTTTTGCGCTTTTCACGCTAGCACTGCGAAGCGGACTGGGGGTGCGAGACACGCGCGATGCATGGGAAACAAGTTCTGCAGGCTATAAAAGAAATTAAAAAATGAATAAATAAATAAAGCAGGCCTGATTTTATTTCGATGAGTCTATTTTTTGTCGAAAGCAAACGTGAAAAATCGTATTAAAATTCGTGACAGTATGCTAACGTGACTTAAGCGTGTGACCGATTTCCGGTCACACACCAAAGGTCATACGATCTTGTGCGATATTTATTATCAGCCGGCGAACGATTGACGCTTTCAAAATCGACGTCATTAGTCTGCGATGAATTTTCAATCTTTTGGCCTCCTGACTGAAGTAAAAACTCTTGCAACTCTTGCTTCTAACTAAAAGGACCGCAGTGACGTGTTGTGACTTCATTTCGATTCACCGCCAGATTCTGGCGCAGTCGCTGAGCAAACGTACGTTTGTCTTTTGGACCGTTTGGCTTAAAATTATGGATTTTGCGACTCAAACCGACGCAACAGAAGTTGGAAATAACTTTCCTTGCCGTAAAAACGTGTTACAAGCAATGGTGAGTAATCCTTTCATGTAAAACCTTTCTTTTAGTTTGACAACCGTCCGCAAGCCGTCTAATTTGCATAAATTTCCCAATTCAATTGCTCTCACCACTTGCTTTGGTGTCAGAATGGTATTTGATTTCCAGAGCTAAAACTTTCCAGTAAGTTAGTACGAAAGCCAAGGTTCCATTTTATATTGATTTTATGATCAAGCGGCATATACCAGAGGCCTTTTTTAATAGTCAAAGTTGGCCTTCGTTTTCTAGCATGTCTAACGTCACAAATACGACCTCTTTAGACTTGTCGATTATAAAAATATAAGACATTGTTTTTCAAATTTTCGTTTAAGGTTTTCAAGAGTAAGAACAAAATAATAATTCGGTGAAGTTTCAGTGTCAGGGAATGTTTCTTACGCGTTCACCCTTCTCTCGAAGTTGCCATTGCATCCTGCCGTGTTTTGTTCGAAAAACAGGAATAAAATCGATTTTTCAAACTTTTTTTAATTTCTCCTTTAAAATGAATCGTTTGAACCCAAAACTATTTTTCCTTAAATTAGGTCACTAAAAGGGATGGTTTGGCAAAATAATAAAAAATTCGATTTTTTGACGAGTGTCTTGCGATTCTCGATTTTCTCAGAAAATGGCTCTTAAATTGGCAGCAAACTTGATGAGTTTTGTACGTTAGCTTGAGGAACCCCTCTTGAATCGATTCTAGGCCCACTTCTGTTGATTTTATATATAAATGATCTTCCCTAATATGTCTGTTACGCCGCAAAATGTAATATTAACGCAAACTGTAATAAGAATCGCCGCAACAGGGCTGCAAATAACGGACAGCAGGTTGCCGGTCATGATGACCGGCCAAATATTTTTTAGCCCGGACAAACCCCGATTCTGGCCGGTCAAATAAAGAATACTAATAATTTTCTTTTGCCTAAGGAATATCCAATTATGCTGGAAATAGATCGTTATTACTACATTGATGTTCACATTTTTGACAGCAAATTGGTGAAAAATGCATTCGCACGTTGTAGAGTTCTTTTCCGCAGTTTTCGCGCGTTTTAATGTTACGTTCTACCTTGAGTATCATTGCACGGCGGTATCTGAAGTCTCTAGAGGTAAAAAGTGAAGCGTAAATCCTTTTCACACTCCCAAGGTTCAGGAAGCGGAATACACATACAGTTCAGCAAACTTTAGAAATTACGAAAAAAAAAACAAAAAAATTGGGTTATTTTACAAAATCTGCACACGCTTGTTTTACGTTGATGTTCCGAAATGAACATCGGTGAAACTTGATCTTTTTCCTTGCCTGGCACGTGATCGAAAGTCACTTCCTCAAAGAAGAATCGTCGCTGATATTTTCGGCAAAGAAGTTGATTTGCATTGGTGAGAAGTTTGTTCCACAAACAGCGTGTTGATGATCAGAAGTCAATAAATAAATTTGGGTCATCGCGCAACATTTTATCGCGAAGGGCTCAAATGTCAACAGAAATTTGCATAAAGTTGTTTACAAGAACGAGAATCTAGCGCCGCGATAGACGACGACCTTCCCTCTTGAGTAGCTTAAATTTTTATCAGACCATTCTGGAATCGAGTCTGCAAACGAGATTCATGTTCGACATAAAAGAAATTATTATTAATCGATGCGCTAACATTTATTCCCGGAGAAACACAGGACGACCTGTTGAGAATTGCGATCGATTTGCCTGAATTCCTTCGAATTCCCAAAGAAGGTCACATTGCTGATTACAGCAAAGCCGAAAGTACAGTACGACTTGCAACGTTGCGTTACTTTCCAACTCAGTTTGTTATTCACTTTGTTGCGTTAGATTACGACATGACGACATGAAATTAATTTATTGCGGCGTTCTTTTTCTTAGAAGGGTTTAGTGCAAAGCAGCAAACAACGCCAAAGAAAAAAGGAATCATTGCAGCGTTATAGAGCACTAAGCGACAACTGTATGGAAAATAAAGTGTTTGTATCCAAAAATGACCGGTCAAAATGACCGGCAAGACCGGAGTTTGACCGGTCAAGTCCGCGATCAGGCCGGACATTGTCCGTTGACCGGCCGTTATTTGCAGCCCTGCGCAAAATGTAATACTAACGCAAAATGTAATAACATTGACGCAAAATGTAATAAAAATTTCAACGCAAATTGTAATAACTTTTCTAACGCATAATGTAATAACGCAAAATGTAATAATTTCCGAATAACGACGTGCATGCTATTTCAAAATCGGTATTGTTGCTCAGTCATCGGTAGTAGCGAATTCAGATCTTCAATTAAATTATAAGCTATTATCATTATTGATATTAATATTGATATTAACATTATTAATAATATTACTATTACTATTAATATTAATTATTATTATTATTATTATTATTGCTAATATTACAATGAAACAGTTGAAATGAGGAGATGTAATCATCTTTAGGGAACCGAATGGGACGTTTGTTTCCGCTGATTTGAACGTAATACAGGTCCCAATACGGTGCCCACCTAGCCGTCCTAAGCCAACATTTCGCCCTCAGTGAGAAATAAGTGTTAATGTTGGCTTAGGGGAGGATTATGTAGACAGTTTCCCATAATTATCCAAAAATTCTAACCCAAACCAAATTACCCATACACCCTCCCCCCTCAGGTGGTCAAAAATGGTCGGCCCTAAATTGCGCACTTTTTATGGATCTCCCAGTTCAAGATTTGGCCCGTCAACTCTAAGCCAATGGCGATTGCGTTGCTGAGCAAATTCAAGGTTTCTTTTAGCGTTGAATGCGTTTCCTGATATTGAGTCGGTCGGTCGGATTGAAAAAAAAGCCTAAAAAACAAAATCACAAGAAGTCTCGGAATAGGAGGCTCTGGTACCCCAGGACGACGTTAAAAGTTAAAATTCACATATTTGGATTAACAAAATACACAATATACTGTAAAAAATGTTTATGTCTTTGTTCCTGTTTTTCTCTATGCTGTTACTATGCCCATTTTTCAGATTAAAAGAATTATTTCAAGTGAAAAATGGTTTAACTAGGTCGTTACTTTTTTTTTGAAAATGCCAAAAATTTGGGTCGGTCGGACGACGCTAAACGGAGAAAAAAAAGAGGATGGCCTGTCTTCTAATCACAACTGCCTTGCCAGGCAAATTCAATGTTTTTGTGCATCAGCTTAGCTCTACTGCAATCAAAAATGCGTTACCGGGCTAACTAAAAAAATTTTGCGCTATCTGTTCTAGGCAAACGACAACTGCCTCTATTAAATCAGAACTTAGGAAAAG